GAAACATTATGCTTTGGGGCTGTTTCTTTGCTAAAGTTACAGGCAGCCTTTGCCGCATTGAGGGGCCAATGGACGGGGCCATGTTTTGTAGAATCTTGGATGAGAACCTTCTTCTCAAAACTCTGAAGATGGGTCGTGGATGGGTGTTCCAGCATGACAATACCGCCAAGGCAACAAAGTAGCGGCTCAAGAAGAAGCACATTAAGGTCCTAGAGGGGCCTAGCCAGTCTCCAGACCTATAGAAAATTTATGGAGGGAGCGGAAACTTTGAGTTGCCAAGCAACAGCCAAAAAACCCCTAAGGATTTAGAGAAGATCTGTAAAGAAGAGTGGACCAAAATGCCTCCTGAGATGTCTGCAGACCTGGGAACCAACTACAGGAAACATCTCACCTCTGGGCTTCCCAACAAGGGTTCCTCCACCAAGTCATGGTTTGCTTGGGGATCAAATATTTATTTTACTCACTGAACTGCAACTCCATTTATAACATTTGTATTGTGTTTTTTTCTGGATCTTTGGTTGATATTCCATCTCTATGATGAAATTTAGACCCTTCATTTCCTTGTAAGTGGGCAAACTTACACAATCTGCAGGGGATCAAATCATTATTTCCCCCGCTGTGTATTTTGCCTTCGCAGGCTCCTCCCTCATCTAATTATATTCTCTAAATAAATCCTTATACCTTATTTTAGGCCCGATGATGTCATCACTGAGCCTCTGCGGTTTTCTATGCAGTGCAGGCAGACCATGGCTGGCTGGTGGGAGGCGCTGGTTGGGTGCTGTACATAAAAACCTCCCAGCCCCCCCGCCTCGGTGCTCCTCTCAAGAGCCCTCAGTCCTGATGTAAGCAGTGGGAGGAGTTAAGCAAATATCAAATGTCTTGATGGGTGGGTGTTGGTCTGGAGGAGTGGGTGTTCCTAGGCAGGCTACATTTGCATAGGTAACACCCTTATGTAATGCTGAGCCTCCAGGATTGGAAGAACTGAAATCCAATGAATGAAATGGGTGAGCCAGGGACAGGAAATGAGGTGGAGTTCTCTCTGATTGGCTGCAGCTTCTAATGCATATTGTGAGGAACTCACAGTGTGCAGTGACATCAGAGGAAGACGTTTCAGTCCAGGGGAGGAGCCGGTAAACCTGTGCAAGACTGGAGGGGAGGAGCCGGTACACCTGTACAAGACTGAAGGGGAGGAGCCGGTACACCTGTGCAAGACTGGAGGGGAGGAGCCGGTACACCTGTGCAAGACTGGAGGGGAGGAGCCGGTACACCTGTGCAAGACTGAAGGGGAGGAGCCGGTACACCTGTGCAAGACTGGAGGGGAGGAGCCGGTACACCTGTGCAAGACTGGAGGGGAGGAGCCGGTACACCTGTGCAAGACTGAAGGGGAGGAGCCGGTGCACCTGTGCAAGACTGGAGGGGAGGAGCCGGTGCACCTGTGCAAGACTAAAGGGGAGGGGCCAGTACACCTGTGCAATACTAAAGGGGAGGAGCCGGTATGCCTGTGCAAGACTAAAGGGGAGGAGCCAGCATGCTTGTGCAAGACTAAAGGGGAGGAGCCGGCATGCCTGTGCCAGATTGGAGGGAAGGCTGGAATTAATCGAGTAATCATCACTCATTCACAATGTAACATTACTTTTGTTTGAACGTGAAATGGAAAATGTTCAATTTTTGTGGCACTTTTGTGGACACGTCATCCCGTGTGCTGTAAGGAAACTTGGAAAAGGTTTTCCACACCCCGCTCTGCTTCACTTCCAACCAACAGTTCAAAGGAGAAGCTTTCCCCCCGATTTACCAATTATGATTCCTCTCTGTTTCCTTTTATTCCCGACGGCGGTCAACCGTGAGAAGCCAAACGAGTTCAACCTCCACCCGCCCGTCACCGGGGCCTGACTAAACGACCTCCATTCACCATGTCTCTGCACATCACGTACACACTACCCTCAGGACGTCCCTCTAAAAGGACTTCAGCTGGAACGGTGGTCGTCCCGGCGGGTTCAAGGCCAGAATGGACCACCAAAATTGGCTGATTGGGTTCAACAGGTGCCAACAGATGACCCCGCCCACTGAGCTGACCATCTTCTTTCATGGCATAAAAGGCAGCTTAGGGTCCAACATTTCCAGACAGTAAAAAAGCAAAACTAAAGGGGCGTGTTTAAAAAAACCCATTGCAGGGCTGTGATATCGAATGTTCTCAGGATCGAATATTATTTATTGAAGAACAGAGAGGATGGAGGAAGTACCACACTGTGGTCACTAGATGGCGCTGACTATCATAGGAAAAGACGTCTGCTCCTCAACTCCATCTACTGGCCAGAATGTGGTACTTTTCCCTATAATATTCGACCTGCAAAAAAATCTGTTTTTATCCCCACATTTACAGTTTCGAAATACTTTTTTTTTTTTTTTATAAATACACCCCAAGGTGTATGTAACCCAACCAGCCACGTTTGGTGGTACATTCTAGTCTCTAACCCACCAGGAAGACCACTGTTCCAACTAAAGTCACCTCGGCCGGTTCAGTGGGGATCAGGCAAGATTGGAACCACCTATGGGCAGGCCGATCGTACCCGGTTAGGTTGTCCTGGGTACAAGGGTACAACCAGCCTGATGCCAGCAGGTGTAGCCGCTAGCAGTACCCACTGTGTTCTGCCGGCAGGGACAGCTCCACCCCCCCCCCCCCCCCCCAGGAGAACACAATAGCTTCACGGGAGGGATTTCAGTCAGTCTTGATGGGGTAATTGACTGTGACTCAATGTGGCCCTTTGTTTGCCTCTATCCGGCCTCCAGGACACAATTCCTTCCACCTGGCATCAACAATTGGGGATAATTCCTGCCACTGACACCAATGATGGGGCACTATTCCTCCCACTGACACCAACAATGGGACACTTCCTTCCACTGACACCAATGATGGGGCATTATTCCTCCCACTGACACCAACGATGGGACACTTCCTTCCACTGACACCAATGATGGGGCACTATTCCTTCCACTGACACCAATGATGGGGCACTATTCCTCCCACTGACACCAATGATGGGGCACTATTCCTCCCATTGATACTAATGATGGGGCACTATTCCTCCCACTGACACCAATGATGGGGCACTATTCCTCCCACTGACACCAACAATGGGACACTTCCTTCCACTAAAACCAATGATGGGGCACTATTCCTGCCACTGACACCAATGATGGGGCACTATTCCTGCCAGTGGCACCAACGATGGGGCACTATTCCTCCCACTGACACCAATGATGGGGCACTATTCCTACCACTGACACCAATGATGGAACACTATTCCTCCCACTGACACCAATGATGGGACACTATTCCTCCCACTAACACCAACAATGGGACACTTCCTTCCACTGACACCAATGATGGGGCATTATTCCTCCCACTGACACCAATGATGGGGCACTATTCCTCCCACTGACACCAATGATGGGGCATTATTCCTTGCACTGATACCAACGATGGGACACTTCCTTCCACTGAAACCAATGATGGGGCATTATTCCTCCCACTGACACCAATGATGGGGCATTATTCCTTGCACTGATACCAACGATGGGACACTTCCTTCCACTGACACCAATGATGGGACACTATTCCTCCACTGATACCAATGATGGGACACTATTCCTTCCACTGACACCAATGATGGGGCACTATTCCTCCCACTGATACCAATGCTGGCGCACTATTCCTTCCACTGACACCAATGATGGGGCACTATTCCTTCCACTGACACCAACAATGGGACACTTCCTCCCACTGACACCAATGATGGGGCACTATTCCTCCCACTGATACCAATGATGGCGCACTATTCCTTCCACTGACACCAATGATGGGGCACTATTCCTTCCACTGACACCAACAATGGGACACTTCCTTCCACTGACACCAATGATGGGGCACTATTCCTCCCACTGACACCAATGATGGGGCACTATTCCTCCCACTGACACCAATGAGGGGCACTATTCCTCCCACTGATACCAATGATGGGACACTTCCTCTCACTGACACCAATGATTGGGCACTATTCCTTCCACTGACAGCAATGATGGGGCACTATTCCTCCCACTGATACCAATGATGGGCACTATTCCTCCCACTGACACCAATGATGGGACACTTCCTTCCACTGTCACCAACAATGGGGCATTATTCCTTGCACTGACACCAATGATGGGGCATTATTCCTTCCACTGACACCAATGATGGGGCATTATTCCTTCCACTGACACCAATGATGGGGCATTATTCCTCCCACTGATACCAACGATGGGACACTTCCTTCCACTGTCACCAACAATGGGGCATTATTCCTTGCACTGACACCAATGAAGGGGCACTCCCATCTTACGCCAGGAAATGTTCTACTTCCACCGGCCACAGCCCGGCCCCCCTAAAAAGTCTGAAGGCAGCAAACTGGCCCTTTGTGGAGACCCCTTCACTAATCCTTCCCGTCTACCCTAAAACGAATTAAAGAAAATTCCCCTTTACATTCAGCGGAAAACGGACCAATTTTTCAAGACAATGGCCTCCTAACACAATTGGATAGTCTTCCACTATGGGGACAGCTCCAAATGAACTCCACCTGACCTCCACCCTATAGATCACGTCGGTTGTAGACCTTGTTGCACCCCCTAAAACTTCCTTCGGCACCCCCCTGTCCAAAGTGACGGTGGTTTCGGTTCTGCGTACCGGCTGACGATGCTCTGTGAAATATTACAGCCGCGTTCTCATACAATAATAAAACGTTTAATGACGAAAAAGTCCTGAGCTTCTTGAAGAAGGTCTCAAGGAGAACAAAAAAAAAAAAAAAAACAACAAAAGTGGCAAGATAACATTGCTGCAAGCTGCATCCGTAATAATTGCATTGTATATCCACTATGGTAAAGGGCGTCGATGGCCGGAGACCCCCTTTAAAAAAAAAAAGGCACTCTGGTTTCTACAGTCCACCCATGAAGATCCAAAATGTCCTTCAAACCATGTGTACCGACATTTGTGAAGAAGACCCGGGAACACCTCCGTACTGTCTGCTGTCGCAGGCGTTTGTGGCCTGCTGGTTGCCCGAAGGACTGGCAATCATGTGCATGGCATCCATGCCGGAGGACAGGTACTGCCGGTCTCCAAAGGCCACGTTGGACGGTGAGGAGCAGAGTAAAGTGCCTTGAGGAGCAGTCAGTTTCTCGGGGCTCGTGGCTAGCCGGGGAGAGGCCGGGAAGTTGTATCCGTAAAGGTTGTAAGGATTGTGGATGGAGAAGGCATTGTAGGAGCCTTGCTGCATGTGGCCACCTCCGAACATGTGTGAAGACGAGGAGCTGGACGAAGGGTTTCCCGCCTGCATCATGTACTGAAACTGAGAGGTGGGATAGGCGCCCAGCTGCCCGCTGTAGGCCTCCATCTTGCTGTTGCTTGGCAAAGATGACGGGGTGGGCATGCCGGAGATGAGAGATGAAGTCCGCTGGGGCATAAAGGTCTCCGTCGGTTGACTGCCGGTGGAGTTGCCACCTTGGAGCCTGTTGTATCCGCTCTCGCTCAAGCCCGGGTAGCTCTGGAGGGCGGCCATGTTGCTCCGAGCGCAGGCCGGGTATTCGGACAGGTTGAGGTTGCACAGCTGGTTCTCCCGGCAGCCGACGTTGAAAGAGTTGGGCGTCAGATGGAAAGTCGGAGGAGAACAAGACGGGGAGAGCAGGTGAGACGATGCAGACGGGGATGGAGTGCCGGTACTCGATGTGGTAGGAGACGTCCCGGTGCTGCCACCTAAACACAGAGAAGAACCTCATGAACTTACTTTCCTACGTACAATAAATAATACATGAACTAGAATTTCAAGCAATTTCATTGGCCAGAGATTATACAACCAAATATTGGGAGTACTCCACTCAGTGTCCTCCACCCCTCTCTGCCAATCCCTCCACTGACCTCCACTCAGTGTCCTCCACCCCTCTCTGCCAATCCCTCTACTGACCTCCACTCAGTGTCCTCCATCCCTCTCTGTCAATCCCTCCACTGACCTCCACTCAGTGTCCTCCACCCTTCTCTGCCAATCCCTCCACTGACCTCCACTCAGTGTCCTCCATCCCTCTCTGCCAATCCCTCCACTGGCCTCCACTCAGTGTCCTCCACCCCTCTCTGCCAATCCCTCCACTGGCCTCCACCCCTCTCTGCCAATCCCTCCACTGACCTCCGCTCAGTGTCCTCCACCCCTCTCTGCCAATCCCTCCACTGGCCTCCACCCCTCTCTGCCAATCCCTACACTGACCTCCGCTCAGTGTCCTCCACTGGCCTCCCCCCCTCTCTGCCAATCTCTCCGCTGACCTCCGCTCAGTGTCCTCCACCCCTCTCTGCCAATCCCTCCACTGACCTCCCCTAAGTGTGCTGCAATCCCTCTCTGCCAATCTCTCCAATGGATTCCACTCATTGTCCTCCACCCCTCTCTGCCAATCCTTCTACTGACCTTCAGTGTCCTCAACCCCTCTCTGCCAATCCCTCCATTGGCTTCCATTCAGTGTCCTCCATCCCTGTCTGCCAATCCTTCCACTGGCCTCCAATCAGTGTCCTCCACCCCTCCCTAGCCAATCCCTGCACTGTAATCCACTTAGTGTCCTCCACCCCTCTCTAGCAATCCCTCCACTGGCCTCCATTCAACGTCCTCCATTACTCTCTGCCAATCCCTCCACTGGCCTCCACTCAGTGTCCCCCACCCCTCTCTGCCAATCCCTCCACTGGCCTCCACTCAGTGTCCTAGTGACACAAATGTACAGATTTGAGTAGCTGAGAGGTGACCTGTAGCAATATGTAATCCTAAATGTAGTTTCATTCCTTGTTATTAAAGAAAGAAGGTACTCAGAGACAGATGGTCACCAATTAGCATCTGAAGGGACAGAGCTTCCTCTGGAAGTGGCACCTGGGGGCTAATAAGATTTTGTCACTTATATGTAATCAGACTTTGCCATCTTCCTGAAGCTGAAAAGAGGAACGGAACGACGTTTTGGCTTCATGACACCAGGGGGGGGGGCTCCGATCTGTCTAGGGAGCTCTAAAAGTATATACATACATCAAAGGAGTATGTTTCATCTCTCATAAAAGCTAAAATATTAGTTGCAGAGAGATGAAAATACTTCCTTCTGACGGGGCACTCTGTGGGCTACATCTGCATATAAAAACTATATTTTGTGGCCTATGTAGAATGCCAGGAAAATGCAGGAAATGGTTATGTGGCGCTGGAGTGCGATAGCGGAACAGTGATTGGTACTGTCATGATCGGACTGATGCGCTGGTGTCGGAAATCCAATCCCCGACTTGGTGATTCAAGCCGGTCTTGGTCTGATTGACTTTTGGCATTTCAGCACCCAGAACAGCCTGTGGGCGGGTACAGGAACACCCCCCAGAGTCGACTGGCTAAGAACTCATGTTCAGCCTACATCCATATCCCAATAAATTGAGGACACGGACATTTGGACATTGTGATTTGTATGGAGCCGGTTCGAAGATCGACTAACGGATTGCGGACTTTTCCTGACTTGCTCCAGTCGCAGGGTAAATCTCGGTAAAAGTTTTATTTCTGTTTTTTATTCCCTTTTATTTTATAGTGAATAGTCATTTGTGTGTCTTCTTGTATCTTTTGTATTTTTTATAACTTTTTATACTTTGTACATATTTTATGCTTTACCCACTTTTGGGATATTAAATATTAAAATTAATAAGTGACTTCTGTGTACTTAAGCTCGGGCTCAGATCTCTGGAGAGATTAGATTGTATTGTATGTTGGTGTCTTTATACGTTCGGTCAAGCTCATTGCCTGTCTGTATGCAATTGCACTGCGTGTGGGCAGATTGCGTGCAGATTGTAAGGGTGACAGGTCTGCCAGACGGAGATCTGTGTGTGTGTGGACTAAAACAAAATAGATGAGAATAAAACAGGATAAAATACAATAGAAGAGTATAAAACAGAATAGAACGGTATAGATTCGAAAACAATAGAATAAAATATAAGAGAATAAAACAGAATAGAGTAGAACAGAATAGAATAAAATGGAGTAGAAAAGAATAGAATAAAACAGAATAGATGAGAAGAGAAGAGAATTGAAACATAACAGAAAATAACAGATTATAACAGAATAGAATATAATAATATAGAATAGAATATAATAGAAAATAAAAGAAGAGAATAGACTAAAACAAAATAGATGAGAATAAAACAGAATAGAAAGGTATAGAATAGAATAAAACCGAATAGAAAAAAATAGCATACAACAGAATAGATGAAAAGAGAGGGGAATTGAAACAGAACAGAAAATAAAAGATTATAAAAGAATAGAATAATATAGAACAGAATATAATAGAATAAAAAAAAATAAAAGCAGAGAATAGACTAAAACAAAAGAGATGAGAATAAAACAGAATAGAAAGGTATAGATTAGAAAAGAATAGAATAGAATAAAACAGAACAGAAAAGAATAGAATAAAACAGAATAGACTAGAATAAAACAAGTATAATAGATTCTATTAGAACAGAAGAGAATAGAAAATAATAGAGTAGCATATAAAATAAAAGAACAGACTAAAACAAAACAGAAGAGAAGATAATAGATTAGATTTGAGAATAGATTAAAACAGAATAGAACAGAATAAAACAAAATAGAATAGAATAAAACAGACGAGAATAGATTAGAACGGAATAGAATAAAATCGAATAGAATAGATTAAAAAAGAAGAGAATAGAATAGAAAATAATAGATAAAATTTAAATAAAATAATGGAATAAAAGAAAAGATTAGAATAGAACAGAGTGCAACATATGAGGAGAGAAGAGAATAAAATAGAATTAGAATAGAATATGCGTAAAATAGCTACTTGAAACAATAACAAAGCAGCCAAATTCAGCGCTCATAGAATACAATCTGGCACCCTGCTCTTTTCTTTTGCAATTAGAATAGAATGGAACAGACTAAAACTGAATAATATTATTAGAATAGAATAAAAACAGAATTAGAATAGAATTGAATAGAAAAAAAAAAACATAATAGATGAGAATAAAAGAGAAGAGAATAAAACTGAATATAATTAGAATAGAATAAAACAGAATAGATTAGATTTGAAAGGAATAGAATAGAGTATAAAAACAAAATAGATGAGAATAAAAGAGAAGAGAATAAAACTGAACAGATGAGAATAAAAGAGAATAGAATTAGAATAGAATAAAACAGAATAGATTAGATTAGAATAGAAAGGAATAGATTAGAATAGAATAGAAAATAAAAACAGAATAGATGAGAATAAAAGAGAAGAGAAATAAAACTGAACAGATGAGAATAAAAGAGAATAGAATTAGAATAGAATAAAACAGAATAGATTAGATTAGAATAGAAAGGAATAGAATAGAATAGAATAAAAAACAAAAACAGAATAGATGAGAATAAAAGAGAAGAGACTAAAAAACAGAATAGAATTGGAATAGAATAAAACAAAATATATTAGATTAGAATAGAAAGGAATAGAATAGAAAATTAAAACAAAAACGGATGAGAATAAAACAGAAGAGAATTAAATAGAATATATTTGAATAGAATTGAAAGGAATATAATAGAAAATAAAAACAGATTAGATGAGAATAAAACAGAATAGAATTAGAATAGAATAAAATAGAATAGATTGGATTAGAATAGAAAAGGAATAGAATAGCATAGAAAATTTAAAATAGAATAGATGGGAATAAAAGAGAAGAGCATACAACAGAATAGAATAGATTAGAAAAGACTAGAATAGAAAAAAAACATAACAAAAATATAGCCGTCTTCCCGAAATTCCAATTGTTTTCAGATCGATTCGTAAATAACTCCGGAACCCGAATATACGGGGCAAATTCTGAAAACAAATCGTTCTCACAAATACGGCAAAACAAAACGATTGTTGGTATCAGTGAAAGAATAGTACCCCATTGTTGGTGTCAGTGGAGGGAATAGTACCCCATCATTGGTTCCCGTGGAAGGAATTATGATATTGGTGGAGAAATAATTGGTGTCAGTGGAAGGAATAGTACCCCATTGTTGGTGTCACTGGAGGGAATAGTACCCCATTGTTGGTGTCACTGGAGGGAATAGTACCCCATTGTTGGTGTCACTGGAGGGAAGTACCCATACCCCCATTGTTGGTGTCACTGGAGGGAATAGTACCCCATTGTTGTCAGAGTCAGTGAAGAGAATAGTACCTCATTGTTGGTGTCAGTGGAAGGAATTATGTCCCATTGTTGGTGTCAGTGGAAGGAATAATGCGCCCATTGTTGGTGTCAGTGGAAGGAATTATGCCCCATTGTTGGTGTCAGTGGAAGGAATTATTCCCCGTTGTTGGTGTCAGTGGAAGGAATTATTCCCCGTTGTTGGTGTCCCCAGTGGTGTCAAGGAATTATGCCCCATTGTTGGTGTCAGTGGAAGGAATTATTCCCCATTGTTGGTGTCAGTGGAAGGAATTATTCCCCGTTGTTGGTGTCAGTGGAAGGAATTATTCCCCATTGTTGGTGTCAGTGGAAGGAATAATGCCCTCAAGGGCCGGAGAAAGGCAAGCAAAGGGCCGCAGTTTGGAGACCTCTGGTATATACTATAGTCCATTTGTACTTGAGGTATATTGCTCCTCAGGTTTCGGGGGTATAAATGGTTACAACAGGCTGGAAGTATTCGATGCTTAGATTACGATCCGTCTACATTGCTCTCCACCCCGTCACCACCAGCTGTGTCCGGCATCATGTGTGCCCACGTTCTGGCC